ACCGAGGTTGTCACGTGGGCTGGCCGCGCGGCTGCGGGGGGGCTCGGGGCTACAGCAGGGCCGCCCGCACGAGGAGGAAGACGGGAATCTGGTGGAGCAGCGGCGAAACGACCTACCCCCAAAACCTGACACACCCGGGAGCCGGCGCGCAGCTGGCAGCATCCTGGCGCGTCCTCCGTCATCCTTACAGCCTGAGGATATGCGGGTGGGGTGTGAGATGCTGCGTCGCAGCAACTGTGGCATTAGGGTTTCGAACTTGAACGTGGCGGTTCTTTCTGATCCCTGCAAGGCCTCCCTCCCATCTCAGCCTCCTCCGACTGGTCAAGATCAGTGAAATGCTGGCTCCCTGCCCAGCTCCTGCAGCCCTCCCAGGGCAAGAAAGCGCTTTGCTGCACACACACCCCAATCGAGGTCCCACCACAGCAGGTGTAGAACACGTCCTGCAGTTTTACAGTATGCTATGCCCGCATCATTATTTCTTCACGTCAGTGAAAGCAGCAGGAGATGGGGGTCGCTGCCAGCCAAAGCCATGACAAGGGTTTGCTGGCATGGCTCTGGCGATGGGGGAAACCCACACATCGGACCCCAGGGAGCTGGAAAGACCTTCAGGCTCCTGGAGCAAACCATTTAACTTCAGACGTGGTTGCTTATGTTGCATTGCGCTCCCACTCTGGCGCTGCCCTGGCCTCAGAGGAGAGGCAGACCCCACACGCCAAGCCCCTGGCCTGCTCGAAAGGGTCATGCAGCTGGGAAGGTACAAAAGCTCCCACAAAGCAAGATACTTTGATTTAATTTTTAATGAGTTGCATCAATGCTATTCAAGCAGAGTTGTCGCGGTGCCTGGTGAACACCTGCCTGGGCAGATGCAATGCCAGCAGGCACTTGGCACGTACAAAAGCGGTGAGCAGGATGTCAGGCAGAGCCTGCCGTCTCTCGGTGTTCAGGGAAAAGCCTCCAGAGGAGAGGGCAAGGGAGCAGCCCTGTCTCCTTCTGTCTGCTTATGGGTACTCTCAGAGCTGACCCCTTGGGAGTGCAGGACTAGCCTCACTAGAGGCAAGACAGGACACATACAGACACTGGGGGTGGAGGGATGCTGAATTTCTGGACATTTTTAGACTTTAAATACGAAGGGCCAGATCTGGTTTCTAGCGAGGAGGTCCTCTGACTTGGCAGCAACATTCTGCACCAGAAAACATTCAAGACCCCCAGTCTCAGTTCCCAGGCTGTAGGACCGACCCACCGTGTCTGGGCATTGCCATTGGGAAGGCAGTGCCCGCAATGTAGCTCAGACACCGTAGACTCCTAGCAGGCCCAGAAGCATCAAGACTAAAATGGGAAACAAACCTGGAGCTGTGTGATGAAAGGTTTTTCCCCAGGACTAATACTTGCACATGACATCTCATACCCTTTCCCATCCACATACTGGAGGACTCACAGCAACAGCAGACCTGGCCTGGCGCTGTGTCACTGCATGCCATGAGTTACGTCTCGGGAGGGCAGTTACATTGGTCCATGGGCATCTGCACTTCACGGTTTCTCTTCTTCACCCATTAGCTTTGAATCAGTCAGTTACACTGCGAAAGTCAGGGCGAGACAAAAAAGCGGGGAGAGCGATAGAGGGAACGACAGCAAGGAGTAACTCAGGGCTGGCAAACTACTGTTAGCGAAAGGATTATTACATTTCTCTATTACATAGAGAAATTCTAATGGATAATAAAGAAAGCAACAAAGTTCATCGCTGGCCTGGCGCTGTGTCGCTGTGTGCCGGGAGTTACATCTCAGGAGGGCAGTTAACTTGATCCGTGGGCATCATTTTCTCGGTGTCAATCTTGTAGGACTGGAGAATGCTCTTCAGGTGCTCCACGGTTTCTGGGTGCATGTCGGGAGATCTTGACATAATCCAGGCATAGTCAACATGGAAGAGCCAGAGGATGTTGGTGCAGGAGTAAACCAGTGAATAGTTTTCATAGTCGGTGGAGATGACCCAGTAAGGGGCAGAAGGCATGACTAGGAGATAGAAGGGCACAGTGAATGCCATGGGTAACCAACTCTGGACTGCTCTGCAGCACTAGAGCCACAGCTCCTGGTGCTGTTCCCACTTTTGCTGCTCCTGAGCCACATAATTGTGGTCAGTACAGGGAGCTGTAATTTATAAAAGCCTATCAGGTCTCCTTGTTCTGCCCAGAGGGACTCGAGAAAGCCACAGAGGTCTTGCTGGGAAGTTAAGACTATGACCTGAACAGCTCGGATGGGCCACAGACAACCAGCCCAGCTCACACCCGTGTGAGGGTGCTTGCTGGCAGGAAGGAGCCCTAGGGCTGGGAGCTGACACCGGTGATCTGAGGAGCCTGAACCACCACCTCCCTCCCCACCACCCACTGCCCCACACAGCCAGCGGGAGCCCGGGCGGTGGGAATCGGTATGGCTCAGCCCATCCCACCAGCACCAGCCACGTGAGTCAAATTCTGTTCTCCATCAGGCTGCTATGCCCAGAGCATCTGCTCTGATGAGGGAGAGCCACTCCAGCTTCAAACTGTCAGGCAGAAAGCAGAGGTGGGTCCAGCGGGCAGGCATAAGTGCCCTGGGATTTATTTCTGATGCACTCAGGAATGCTGGGTGCTGTTCTCTGGGGCTCGTGTCCAGTGAGGATGACGGGGGTTGCACAGTCTGCAGGCAAAATGGCCGCAGGTGATGCCTTAGCAGCACATAATTAAGTCTGGCTGTGCTCATGAACAATAAGTGTCCTTTGCAAGTACCTCTGCTCCACCCATTTCTCCAAATAACTCCTCTGTGTGAGTGCTATGAAACAGCCAAGGAAAAGGTGTGAGGGAGCAGAATAAAAAGGGAGCCAAGAGGAGACTTCTGCTCACTTTCCAAGTGTTGCTGCGGACAGAGGAAAGTGCTCTGCAACTTAAGTAAAATGCACTGCACCTCGGCAGGCCCCTGTTGTGTGTTACATTGACAAGGGAAGAAAACGCAAATAAAAACACATTATTAAAGGTTATTAAAAGGTGCTTGTAAGCCGAGGCAGGGTGGACTGGTAGCTCTACTGCTGTGTTCAGAAAACAAGCCTACTCCTGGCCCTTGCAGCGGCTGTGGGGCTGCCTCTCCTACCTCCCTGTCCCCATCTATGAAATGACCTGGAGGGATGGAAATGCTGCTGATCTTTCTCTCGCTTTAAGATCAGTTGGTGAAGAATGCTCCACCACTGCGGGGGCTGTTGCTGTAAATGATGTATAAATATCACCAAACCACTGCCTGCTGGTCACAACATCTGTCCTAATGTTTTGCCATTGCCCCATCATGCTGCGCTGAAGTCACCGGGGCAGCTTTGCCTCTCACTTTGCTAGTTTTGCACCCCTGATGACATGGCAGGGGTGCCTGCTTCATGCAGGCGCTGCCCTCCCGCGCTGCTGAGGCCAGTGGGAACCAGGGAGCCGGTGGAGGCTGCGAGCCTCCCAGCCACACACTTACACCAGTTAAAGCGGACGCCCAGCTTGGCCGGCTCCTTCACATCCATGTGCATCATTTCTCCTTCAACTTCATTGACTTTTCCACTGGAACTAAGGGGAGAACGAGAAGGCAAGAAATAAAATCAGGTGAATTTGAAATCTTTTTTTTTTTTTTCCTTCCAATAAATCATCCTTCCTGACACATCCACCTGCCAAGAGGTGGCCGTAACATGTACCAGCTAACCACAGCATCCCCAGAGGGACAGCTTGCCCCTGGGGACGGTTTCAGCAGCACCCAGGGCACACCAGGTCCTGAGCCAGGCGCAGCGGGGCAAGTGCTCTCCCAGGTTAAACGACCCCAGCCCCCCAGGGTGCCTCTCTCCAAGTGCCCCTGCCAGCAGGGTGTACTTCGGTGCCAGGGGGACAGTGACAGAGAATAGGGAGAGCAAGACCCCTCTGCACAGGGCAGGAGGATCCCAGCACTGATCTTGGATGTGCCAGGGAACAGCTCAACTTCTGCTAGTTGTGGAAGGCCTGTGTTCACATCTGTTTAATCACCTGCATTTTTTCCAGGTCACGGCACATTCCTCCACACACAAATTACCTGTTGCTGCTTGGTGAGCCAGGGTTTGTTTCGCTGCTGGTTCAGAGCACTGCCGTGCTGGCAGCAAGCCCTACGACTCGGGCTACCTGTCTTATAATTGCATTTTTCCCCAGATGCCTCAAGACCTGGACGCTGCCTGTGGGGCAGGAAAGTTTCATGCTTCCCTGTGAAACAGGAACACCCAAGGAGGCAGAAGCTAATGCAGCCAGCAGCAGAGAGAGGTCAAGGGGCTGATGCTGGAGCCGTGCACAGTGCACACCTGACCCAAAACATTCCTGACATTTCAGGGTCCTGAGCTGCTGAAATGGTGACACCAGCTGTCAGATTAATCTCTGCAGATTAATGCAGGTGCAAATAAATGGCCAGCTGTTTGCCAGGCGCTGCCCTAGCAGTGGAGCTGCAGAGACAGTGCTGCACAGTCAGCAAGCGGCATGGACGCTGCTCTCTGCCGGACACGACGGATGTGTTGCTACGTTGTTGTTATTGTGAGCCAGAACAAAGTCCCCATGCCATGCCAGGGAGCGCAGGGGACAGCGCTGCGTTCGCCGCTCGATCCCTCTTATTCATTCAGCCACTCACAGCAGCACCCCACAACAGCCGGGGCTGGTGATGGAAACAGATGAATTAATATCTGCATCTGTCCATGCGAAAAGCCAGGAGGGCTTGGCATAATTGCCAACTACCAAGTACAATAAAGGGAACAATCAGTGCATTCACTTTGCTCACTGATTTAAACTGGCAATGGTTGCTGATCCCCTTACACAGCAGTTACTACCAGTGCAAGGTGAATGCTCCAGAAAAAGGCTGACAAACATTTGCTTAAGTAAAAATGACCCACGTGCTTTACCTTCCCTGACCCTTTGCATTGCGTCCCTTTACTCCGAAGCAGAGAGGACCACAAAGCACGGGCACCTCTCAGCACACTGGGGCACAAGCTGGTGGCTGCCATCCCATAACCAGCCCTGTGACCCTCCCTGGACAGGACCTGGGGCATCTGGCTTCTCAGCCATCACTGGGGATCACAAACCAGTCAGGGGAGAAACCCAGGCTATTTCACAGTGGAGTCACCATGTGCATTTGATCTATTTTCTCACTACTCACCTTGGACAATGAGACAGACACCTGGTGAGCCCCAGGGAAGCACCAGCGGAAACCAGAGACCCACATCTCTGCCGAAACCACAGCAAAGCCCATTACCCCAGCAGAGCTACTGCAACCACATGGTGGCTTCCCCAGCACCCCCAGATCCAGAAACAGGCAATTTGGAAAAAACTGACCACCCAGGATGGCAAGAGAGGTGACAGGAGTGCCACCCCTGCGGCAAGGACACAGCCTGAACACAAACACTTACAGCATCTCCTTGTTGATCACCTTGAACTTCCCGTTCTCCCTCAACGAGTAATTTGCCTGGATGCAGCTTCCTTTCTCGAAACTTGATGGCAGCTTCTCTATCTCGTACCATTTCCCCAAATACTGATAGAAGAAAGTCCAGAGAGACATTTTTAGCACAAGAGGGCTGAGGCAGAGCAGCATGGCGTGTTTGCTGGCACCGTTTTGACTGCTCGGTTCGTTCAGGCATCCACCTCCATGGCACAGGAGGCTGCAGGGGGCTAGCGGGGTTGCAGACCCGTGCTGGCAGCTCTGGCACAAGGCGTTGAGACCAGATCTGCCAGTCCCCCCACCCCCGCCATGCACCCAGGCAGTTTGCCATCGGTCCCATGCCCCCTTAGCTTAACTCGCTACCTGCCGTGAGATTTTTAGAAAGCTTTTCACACCTTGTTGATATCGAAGTTTTCTTGGACTGGTGGATCTGGGCATGGTCCCATGTGAAACATCTGGCCTTTCCCAAAGCCGAGGAAGCCGAGCAGGACCGAGAGCCGCACTGCTGTGCCCAGCATGGCTGCGCTGGGATGCAGGCAGGAGATGGACCTGGGGAGGAGGAAAATAGCTGAGCTGGGGCATCCCTGGAGCAGAACTTTGTGTGAAATACAGCAAGGACAGGACAGCTGCAGCAGGGCACCTCGGGGACACGGCAAGGAGAAAAGGATCATGAGAAGAGCACAAAGCCACTGTGCCAAATAAGTCCCCAGCCCAAAATGGCCTCAGCTGTGCTCAAGCTGTGCCCAGCAGCTCTGCGGGAAGCAAGGCAATGCCTGGTGAGAGCACTTCTACCCATCACCCACACCTGACACCTAGCAAGATGCAGGGGTGATAAACCCCCAAGGACACGCAGGAGCATCATCATCTGTCCAAAGCTGAGGTAAGGAGAAATGCAGAGATGTTTGCTATAAAATGCTGGAGCACAAGGAACATACTCCAGGGCCGGGACAGAGCCGAGGCCCTGGGACATGGAAGCAAGCAGTGTACACATGCAAGAGCCTGCATGGTGAGAGGGACATCCCCATGTGTGCCAGGGCTGCCTGGCCCTGCAAGGCAGTGGAGGGACAGTACAGCTGCCTCTGTGAGTGTGCCAGGATGTACACAGCACTGCAGGGTGGGCAAGTTGGTCGAGACTCAAATCAGCACCAAATAAAACATGAACCAACCCCCAAAAGCATGCTGCGAGGAGGGAAAGGACATGCTTTCCTGTGGAGCAGAGGCAGGAGCTGTGCTGCTCACCCCCAAGCAGCCCCTGGAGCCAGGATGCTGCCCATGTGCTTTGAGGTTTGCTTGGGGCAGGTTGGCACCTACAGACCCTGCAGCATGGGGCTACTCTGCTTCCCTGGCCAGAAACTCCTCCACAGGAGCAGCAGTAGCATTTTCCCCAAGTTTAAAAGAAAAGCCTAGTCTGTCTCCAGCCGCAGGGCATGGGCCCCACGGCGGACACAAACACAGGTCCCATTTTGAATCTCTTAATTCAGAAACGTACCTTGGCTGATAAGGCGGAGTGATGCTCTGCAGAGGACCAGGGCTGCAAGAAACAGCTCTGTGGTGAGCTCTCTGCCTCGTCGTTTTATAAGCGTGCTGGGATCATCATTATTCAGCACTAGCACAAACCACTCCCTGGTCCTCGACGTGTTTTGTTTTTTTGGCAGGCCAGTCAGCTGCCTTCGATCTGCAGCTGGTACGAAGCTGGAGATGGGCTGCAACTTGGCTGCTCACCCAGGCAAACAAAGGCACCCTACGTGTCTGGGTATCGCTCTGCAGCTGTGGAGCTCTCTGCCATTTGGCTGCTCACAAGAGCCTCAGACCTGGGTGCAAACAGCAGGGGAAGGGGAGAACTGCCGCAGCCTTTGAGAGGGGCTGGGGACGGCAGCGGCTCCTGTCCTGCTCCCTCTGGCCCAGCAGCAGCCATCACCATGCTCCCAGGGGGGACGTGCAACCTCCACTGCCAGGGGCCACTTGAGCCCTGGAGACCTTCTGGGCCACCGCAACGTTGTGGTCCCCATCACAGTCACTCACAGGAGTACATGGGGAGAATTAAGTAGCGGGAGGTATTGCAGGCTCACCTGGGGAGCTGCAAGACCTCTCAGCAGTTTTTCCTCTAGATTTTTAAATCTCACTACTAGGAAAGATGCTGGTGCAATTAGTTCTGTGCTGACCTGGCAGTTTTTCCAACAGGTGCCCAGCAAATGACTTTGACAGCAGAGCAGCCATCTGTGAAGGCAGCGAGTCCCGAGAGTTATGCAAGAAAGGTTGAGTAATAGACAGGATGCTCTCTGTGTTTAATTACATTTTCTTTTAATCTAATCTCTGTTGAGACTTTCTCTCTAGGTGTGTTTTTACACGCTGCACCATGTACTTTACTCACACATGCACACACACTCTGGAGCCCCTGGCTGCCCACATGCCACCCCAAGAGCCACAAAGAGCTCAGTCCTCTCCCTTACTGGGGCCTTGCTGCTGAGGTGTGTCCTGAAACATGGCCATAGCCGAGGTGCTCCCAGGACCTCGATGGCCATTACGGCTCAGCATGGCTCATCCAACGCAGACCCAGCAGCACTGGGAGAGCTGCCACTCCACCGCCCTGCCGGCAGCGCTTGGCATGGGGCAGGGGAGCCTGCAGGGGCTCTCCCTGCCTGCACACAGCTCCCTCAGTGGTTTGGCAGCCACCATGTGCATGTCCCTGATGGGGTTGCTCTGGCTGCCCATGTCAAAGTCAGAGGTGTCCTGCAGACCCTCCGCAAGCCCCACGTTCATCTGCACCTCTTGTGATACAAACAGGTTAGAAATCAGAAAACCTCTGGACAGACGCCCTGACCTGAATGGTACGAGCACTGCCATGCTGTAGTGCACTGCAGAGGTGAGATCCACCCCCCACCCCCCCAGCAGACCAGCAGGCTCAGTTTTTCTCCTGAGCTTGGCTGCCTGCATCCTGCAGAGCAACCAGAGGAGAAAGCACTGCAGAATGGCCAGCCTTGGCCACAGCAGAGCATTTGCCCTGTGTGTGTGAGGACATGGGGAGCTGTGTCGGTGTGCATATCCACATCTGCGCATGGAGCGCTCTCCCATGGGATGGAGCAAGGACTCCCTTGCTGTGGTGGCAGCATTTTGCCCTTGAATGGAGAGGTTTTGATGAAGCTTTCCGCCCTGCTGCAGCAGGAGGGCCTCGTGCTCGCTCTGGCCTCCAGGCACTGCCCAGCACCCCAGGGCTGCCCTGCAGTGCTGGCCCTGCCGGAGATGTGCCCAGGTGACTGGGCACTGCGGTTTTGGCTCCCAGCACCCTGCAGCTAAGGTCACACCAGAGCAGCGAGGCGTTCACCCAGCCGTGCTCCACGAAACCTTCTGCAGGAGCGTGTGTTCACCTGGGACATGGCCAGGAGGCGATGAGGAGCCAGGAGCCACCAGGAGCCGACAGTCCTTAAGCCCCAGTGAGACTGGGGATGACGTGTGGGGTGGGCTTTGCTGTAGCCATCAGCTCCCTCATAGCCAGCACCAACAGCAGTGGAAGCAAACCTCTGTCTTGGTAGGACACGCAGGGGTCCCACCTCCAGCCGAAGGCAGCACCTTCAGAAGCCCAGGGACGGCAGTGCGTGGAGCCCCACTCCTCCAAGGGGCAACCCATGGGTGCTGAGGCACCGCATGCCTTGAAGCACAGATGACGAGAGCTGACAGCCGAGCTCGCTGCTGGCTGCTGGGACCTGTCTCCACGCAAGCGCTGGCTGCGCCTTCCCCAGGGGCACATTTCTGGGCTCTGCCTGACCACAGCGGGAAGCATCCAGGTATCTATCTGCTACTCCTGTGTTGGAATGGAGCAGGCTCGGGCTCCCGCAGCTGAGTCCCTGCTCGGGGCCACCAGGCCAGGCCGTGTTCAGCAGCCACCCCATCCCCAGCACTGCCAGGACTCTCCTGTCATCCCGCCTCCAGTGCCCACTGGGACTGCTCACCCACACAGACCAGGGCCCTGCTCCACGTCCCGCCTGCCGTTAGCCCGGAGCAGGACTCCGCTCGTGAGCCCGTGCACCTTCAATGCACACCAGAGCAAGGGTTTGGGAAAAGCGTAACCTTATAATTGCACCTAATTGTGGGGTGGGGAGAAGCCATCTCCACCTGGTAAGCAGTTCGTACCCTGGAGCAGAGGAGGGGAGGCACATCAAAGGGCAGGAAGCTGGAGCAGGGGTGGGAGGACAGGAAGGAGGAGAGCTGGGGGGAAACCAGGGCGAAGCGGGGGGGCACCAGGCACGCTCTGAACACTTCATGCAAGAATGAAGCCTCCCCCACATTTCTGGGTGATGAGGCAGCTGCAAGGCAGGCGTACAGGGTGCGTGCACAGCACACGGAGGGCGAAGCGCTGCAGGGGTTGGAGGACACGGCAGCGCAGATGGAGTGCATGGGCAGCGTGCACGTGTGGGGACGCAGGAGTGGATGCAAAGCACGCACGGGGTGGGTGAGGTGGCACGAGCTACACAGCATGTCCGGGGGTGGGCAGGTGAGGCTGCCCGGGGTGCAGGGCACGTGCAGGGTGTGCATGGGACGAGGCAGCGCTGGGCACACGCTGGGCATGGTGTAAGGCAGCACTGCGTGCAGGGCACATATGGATGGGCTACATTGGCCGGGATTGTCTCATGTTACTTGGTTGTCTGTTTCTGAGACGAGGCTCGGCTGGCCCTAGGGAGAGGAGGCAACGGCACTGAGCGCTGCCAGCGAAGAAAACCCCCTTGTTAGAATAAGTTGGAGCTGCAGATAAAATCCTGCCAGCTGAGGGCTGGGACAGGGCAGTGCCACACCACCCATGAAGTTCTACCTGCAGCCAACCTGGCTTAGTGCAGAAGTGAGATTGTCCCATTGCACACCCCAGGCCACCCTGAAATCAGCTCCTATGTAACAGAGAAGCTTTAGGTGGCCAGGCCTGGTGGGGACCTGGCTCCCCAGGGAAAGGCTGTCTTACCACGCTGTGTCCCCAGCTGGGATTTCAGCAGCTGCAGAGAAGCCCCCAGCAGCTTTCCACCTGCCATGAGATGGGAGAGCAGCCAGAGTGACATTGTCCTCTCAACCCTGTGATGAGATCCTTGACATTACTTAGGACAGCCAAGAAGCTGCCCAAGCTCTTACCAGCAGGAAAAGCCTCCAGCGGAGGCACTGGAGGGACCAGAAGTTCTGGGCATACCCTTTGATTATGGAACACCACCAGCTCCAGCCCTGGGAGTCAGCAGCCCAGGGCTCCATGCCTGTCCCTGTGAGGAAGGTTTCATCTCCAGATGGTGACTGAGCAACCTAAATGCATGGGGGCTGGAGAGCTGCCACTGTCATGGCTGTTTTGCACCATTTTGCATGAACAGATCTTGTCTTCAGGCCTGCTGCCTTTGAAGCCCCAGTGCTGGAGCCTCTCTGTGGGACCTGGGGTGTCAGGGCATCATATCCTGGGATGTAGGATATCCTGGGGGTCCTGAGACTGCCACCACGGAGACACCATTTTTTGCATGGACAGCTCTTCCTGCCTCATGACGTGCCTTCCCTCCTTTCTCTTTTCTCCTGCAAGTTCATTTCTCTTGTTTTTCTCACTACTCTACAGGAAATGGGGTTTGGGCTGGCCAGACAAGTTGCCACATGTATACAGAAACAAAAATGAACTTGCAGGAGATAAGACAGAGAAAGGGAAGGCAGGTGGGAATTTTCCTCTGTTTCTAGGAGTGGCAAGAAAGTGCTTTGAAATCTGTTCATGCAAAATGGTGTAAAATTTCAAATTACAGTTATGGCACCAAAGGAAGTAAACAGACTCTGGAAGCATGAACTGGCCTCTGGGGAACTCAGTCCAAGGCAAGTGCATGAAAGATGTTGTGATTCATGTATATACAACTAGTGAGTAGCTCTCCACCCTGGAAATTATCCAATTATGTATTCAAAACACAAGAAACCAAAGAGAGAGATTTAAGAAGTTGGAGAACTAAAAAAGATATTATTATTTAAGGGACAAACCCCCTTGTGCAGGACCAGCAGCAGCTCTGGCTGCGCTTCAAGGAGGACTCCCCGACCAAGTCCCTGGAGAGAGGAGCCAGAGGGATCCCTACTTTTCTGAAAGCAAAAAACAAAAACAGACCAAAGAAAACCAAGGACAAAGAGGTACAAAAGAGACAGCAGGCAAGCCTCTGCAGACAGAACTACATTGCAGAGCTGGACCGGTGATAGAGCTTTGGCCTGGCGGCATCTGACCCCTGTGGATGTGCTCACCATAAAAACCAGAGTTCAAGCAGTGCACTTAATCCTGGCTTTTCAGTATGTTCCAGGAATGCCCTCCACCAGGGTCAGCCTTATCCTGCTAAATAAAGTAAAATTTTTTTGTTGTTGCATTTTGCTGCCAGGTTATCACAGCATATGCTAGGTACCGAGCAGGGCAGGCGTGCAGCCAGATTTCATTCTCACCGAGAGGAGCGAGGAAGCGCACAGCAGAAGGGGGCAGAGCAGGACTTCTCCAGTGGGTGCGGGAGCAGATCCCGCGGTCTGATACCAGACTCCCGTGGGCCCCTCTCTGTGGGTGCCTGCTCAGGTGGAAGCGCCCTGCTG